TGCTTCGTTACAATTTGTTGTACCAAAACAGTCGCGTATAACGCCAATGCATCAATGTAATCACTCATTTTCTCTCACCTTTCGGACTGTTTTCATGTCAGCCTCAGGTTACCCTCAATATTCCCTAATAATTTTGTTTTTTGTAATTACCATAGATTTTTACCGTAAAACTGTCATACCGTGTTATACCTGTATCGTGTAGCAATGTGACAGCGCGATGAGCGATCGGACGCATGGGAGCAGAAGAAGGGATAGGAGACCGGAGCAGATCATCGATGCGTGGCGCGCCTAATTCGAAGAGGCAGAAGAAGGCGAGATCGCGCTCGATAACATTGTCGAATAACATTTGTACAACTACAAATAACTAACGGAACGGGTTTCAAGCACCCGTTCCTTTTTGCCTTTACGTTGTTTGGGGAATCGGCTCTGCTGGGAGGATTTTCTCTAGGGTATTAAGTCTCTAACTACGGCTGTGCTCCTAACTCGGACTCGCAGGACATTGTTTCGCAAGAGTTTCTTGGACAGTAGCTTCTACTGTGGGAAGGGGGTACCGAGCTCCGCTTGAGATCTGTTCTATTCAGTGTAGGAAATGTCAGGTAACTGAACAATTTTGAGGTCTCAGTATATCTGTCAATCGCGCCTACCTCCTCCTCCTTCCTTTCTTCTTCCTCCTTCCTTCTTTCCCTTCCTTCTCTCTTCCGCATTTTCCTCCCTTCACATGCGATTATAGATGATGCGATGAGAAAATACTTCTGGACCCTTAAACGAGAGAACAACTGGTTGATAGAAGCCCTGTAACCCCTTAGACAGTGACGTGTATAGTGGAAATAGGTGAATGGGGTGTCAGACTCTTCTGAAACCCTGTTCTGCAGGTGCAGGGAAAGTCCAGGTAACTTGGTGCAAACTTGACTGGAGACCTAGTAAAACGCGGGCTTGGTGCGAAGCCCCCGTAGACCCCATGCGAAAGGACTGAACCGGATCAGCAGCCTTTTTGCTTTTTTTTCTGTTGAACCAACGCCCATGTAGGACCCTTCTCCTGTTTCTCAATACTGTGCTATCCCGGAGTCTCCTCGGGGATTATAAGGAATTTGGAGCGCATGCAGAAAAGGCGGAGGTGGTGGCAAGCCGCACGCTGTACACTGGCGCGATCCTGAGTTCAAATCCCGGGTCAACTTCCGTCCAGGCCAACTAAGCCTTCTTTCCTCCGGGGACGGTAAACTGGTAACCAGATTCCTCTGGGAGAAATTCTACAATGGCTGGCCCCCGCAAGTCATTGTATAGGCCACATCGCATTCAATAAGCCACTACGATTCTGAATGGAAGTAGAATGCGTGCCGCATCCCACAAAGAAGTTGCTATATGGCCAAGTGTTCAAGATTTAAGACAGACAAGATTTTCTCCTCTTTCACTCGACACTGAGGACTTTCTCACGGGTCAAGTCAAGGGGCCATGGGCCGAGGATCGAGAACGAATTACCACGCACACACACAACATTTGAGACTGTTTGATAGTGCTCAGGCAACGAAGTCATGCATCATTAGTAAGCCCTAAGTGGAGAGGAGGGAAGGAGGGGTCGTATTTTGCCAGGTAAAAACTTTCGCATTGCTGGCTTTCGCCAATATTCCAGCCGCGTTGAATTTCTCTTATGAGGTAAGGCATCTCCGCAGTTTTACCACCTATATCTAATAATTGATCTGATGAGTTTCGCCCCTTCCGACGAGTTATAGAAGAGGTGAGGGTCGTATTTTAAAACATTTTCCATCAGACTGGTTCGTCCTTTAGGCGAACAGACCACTCAGTGTTTCCTGTGCATTCCCACACTTTTTTGTAGGACTAAAGTGTTCTGTGTGCAGGTGCAAGAATTCGTTCACGTGTTTAAAGATCCAAAATCACCAGTGCCCCCTCTGTTATCGCCTCGTCTGTCTGGCTGTTACTGGACGACGATTCATTTTTTCTATTTCCAGCTGGTAGTCGCCTGTCAATAGCAATTTGGCTCCCTTCCTCATAGCCGCTTGTCAGTCTGACTTTGCGAAAACCCCTGTTTTCCTCGGCTTCTCTTATATAAATGTTTAGCCGTGAGCAACTGTTCACTGACACGCCAACATCATGAGCGATCTCGGAGCGAGCGCGACGCGCGCTTGTGCTACCGTAGCATCGTCGTGTGGTGTGGTGGTGGCGGCGGTTGTTGGTTGACATAGCTTACAACAATGATATTTTGATGGTACTACAGCTCAATCGCGAGCTTCAGCTTCATCTTGAGCTTCAGCTTCCCATAGCAGGGACACGCCAGTGATGCATATCGATCATTAGATCCATTTCAAATTGTAATATTTCGCATGCCATAAGCCTTACGACTTCATAAGGTGATTGACATGACCCAGTAGTAAGACCTCTTTGTTTACTTCGTTTACATTATTCACAAATAGAGTAAAAAAAATTGGGTTAATAAGAAGAATAGCTGACTTGCAACGGCCGCCGGTCGTCATCGAATCAATTTGTCGACCCGAGGGGCGTGGCCATCCAATCAGCGCCACGAGCCACGCCCCCACGTTTATGTATCTTCGTGTGGTAGCTTTCGTTTGCGTTAGGTTCACGGAGAGTCTAACTTAAGAAAACTTTGAGAATGGTTTATTTAAGGCCTAACTTCTTTATTCCTTGATGATTTATGGCTGTCATGATGCTTCTGAAGCATAATTCGTCAATTTGGGCTAAACAAGCCAACAACCGTTCCTCCTTGCCTCCTCAATCGATTCAGCTTTCATAGTTTTTGTTAGTGTTTTGAACGATAACTCTTCGTTGCTGTCAGGTCTGAGCTCATTGCTTAGCTTCTCCTCTTTCTGTTTTCTTTTCTTTCTAGTCTGAGGGTAGTTTGGGCAAAATTCCAACTTCAGGTAGCAATTCTTTCGCGAAGGTGTGGCCTTCAAAGTTATGGCAGTCACGTGGTTACTGAATCTGACATTATTTATTAATTTGAATGATTTGAAAGTTAATTGTAAGCAGTAAAGCTTCCTGAATATCTAGGGCTCTAGATCTCGTAAGTGCTATTGGAAAATAAACTTGGTTTACTTAGGAAGTGCATTTTATGGCTCTGGTGGTTGTTTGGTGAAAGTGTTTCACGTGAAGGTCTTACTACCAGATTGCTGCTGTGATAATGGCTTTTTATTGGTGCGGGCGCAGATCTTCCTGCCGAACTGTTCGCCGTGGGGTCGATTCCTAGCGAATCTCAGTTTTAAAAGCCTGACCAAGCCATGGAATCCCTTTAGTACCCTCCATCTTGGTTCGACAATAGGTGACTACAAGCCAGATCCGTGGTGTCCCTTGCTCGTGAGGCAAGCTCTCGCTCCACAGGCCTAGTCGTAGCGCGAAGAGATCAGCCGATGTACTGATGACTTCAGAATTTCCAAGAAGATCCTTTTACAGAAGGCTTCGACGCAGCTGATCAGCCAGAGTCCTTGCTGAACTTTCTCAAAATTTGCTGCTTTAGAAGTTTCTACAATTGTTCAATACTCCATGGTGTCCTTCCTATACATCCCAGTTTGTGCAGGCCCATCCCAGCTCTGCTATCCCCGGTGCTCTTCCCTAGTCCCAGTTCTCGGTTCTTGTCGAGTTTCGAGTTGTTCAACGCATTTACGACGTTTTACAACGTGTGCTGTCATATTTTATCAGCTTCAGCACACACAGTAGTTGGCCGTCGGTTTGCGATGCTAAATAAACGATGCCTGGCAGTGCCGATACTTTGCACCGCTATCAGACCTTCTCCACAGCCTCTCCAGTACTTCTTGTCTACCCCCCATTAAAACAACAACTGGTTCAACTGTTTTCCTCTTCGTAAATAGCTGTGCAAGACAAGGGTGAACTTCACAACGTTTTTCCAGGCCTTCAAACTTCCTCGCAAATCACAGCCCATTGTGACCGTACTTTTTCTACCAGGATCCTGAAATCGAATAAATCCAGATGACCCATGATATTGTTCCTTAGGTACTTCCCAGCTCCCTAGGTCTGGTCGTAGCCATGCTACCCCTTGATGTCCTTCCCCATCCTCTGCTTCCCCAGGCCTAAACCCAGCTCCTCTTCGCTATGGTCCTGCCATTTCGCTGAAGGTTCCCGAAAATATTCGCGGATTGCTGGTAAAGGCGGCCACACGGTGGAAGGTAATTTAAGAATAATGGTACGCCCTGTTATGCAAAAACTGTGATTATTACCGTAATGCGATACTCCTTTCGAACAAGGAAATAGGATACCCGTACCGGAGCTCTTGAAGGCTAGAGCAGGATCATCTTTCTCTCAATTACTGTTAATCCGCAGCTCTGAAGCAAACCTTCAGTGTACCCTTCCGCCAAATCTTCACTCCATCCTAGCCGACTTCCTGAGACTTCCTGGCGCTTTTAAAGTGTTTTGCCAGTAAATACTGTTCATTCAGAAACTTCTCATCCCACACAACTGCATCCACATCCCAGGCTTGGCCTGAAAATGTCCTCCAAATTTCTTCCCCCCCCCCTCGCCTCTCTCTTCCCCCTAGCCCGACTTCATTACTGAATCCTGCCGTGAAGTATAGGAGTTATTACTTAACAGTGAGTAGGAGGTGAGCTGTGTGCAATCGGAGAAGCTGAACTGAAGAATCCAAAATAAACAGCGCCACGCTAGACAAAGATTCGGTTTCACAACTCAGCTGTCGGTGTTTTGATGTGGACGACTTGTACGCGAAAAGAAGTCGACGAACATTAGTCTAACAAAAGGTTTTGACAGCCTCGCCTCAGGCACCTGGGGATGTCTTTAGCTCAATTTCACCTTTTCACCTGAATTTTGACAACAGGTGATGTGTTTGTGGTAACCGAACACGCCACCCGTATCACTTACAGTTCTCCTTCTCACCCTTTTCTCCTTGTTATACTATGAAGATCATTCTGGAATTATATCGCATCATACCTGATGTCCTCGCAATTAGCCCACTTTGATGAACTTGTAATGCCCGCAGTAACCTACGGTATTTCAGAGTTCCCATGTCCACGACAACGAAAATGCGCTTCTCTATGGACTCGATTTTAGCAGCGGCCGAAGCAAACACCAGAAAGAGATCTGCCGATGACCCGGTGACTCCAGAATTACCTAAAAAATCCCGTACAGAAGGCATCGACACAGCTGATCTGCCAGGATCCCAGGCTGAAGTCTCCCAGGAGTCTTCTGCGTTGAATGTTTCCACAAGCTGTTCAGCAAGAAGCCCTGTCCCGACCACAAGCTGCAGTCCTGAAGACCTCAGTTGTCGAGTACCGCGAGGTTCAGAAAGTCCTGAGTGTTCACGATACGAAGCCAAGGAAGGCAGCTCAAAAGACAAGGAAACATCAGCTTCACCTGAACATTCCGAGGAGAACTCCCACTGTGAATTGGAATCCGTGAGGTGTGTTTTTCTGCTGGTTCTCCGGTTCAATGTGCCCTTTTATCGTTGTCATTTCAGTCCTTCCGGAATGTCTTCACATCGTTCAAAGTCCGGTGCAACGAAACCTGCCTATTCCTACATAGCCCTTATTGCCATGGCTATTTTAAACGCTGAAGATAAAAAGCTCACATTATCGCAGATCTGCGATTTCATCATGTCACGATTTCAATACTACAGGTTCGTTCAGCGGACATTTTTTGGGTTTTTTGACCATCGCCCTAGATCGCTGGGTAATCTCCCCGAGCCTGGGGTCAGAGAAAAGCTGGGAAAAGAAAGGCTGTCTCTACAAACAGGGCACAGCATCGTTGCGTGAAACACGTGGGGGGTCGTACTTTTCCTCTGGGGGGAGGGTCGTAGTTGGTCTTTGCTGAGAGAGGGAGGGGAAGGGGGGGGTGTCGTGTGTAGCTTTGCGAGGAATTTTCGTGATTTTTCCTCTTTCATGTGTGCTATATACCCTGCTCGATGGAGAATTTTTGAGTGAAAAACTGGAAAAGGCTTGGTAGATAGGGGTTATGAAAGGTGGGGGGGGTGTGTACTGACACACCATTTCACTCATCACGATGCTGCACCGTACCTTGTCTATAAATCTCACTGGCCTCCTTAAAACCGCTAACTGTATGGGCGAATTTGGTGTTACTGGCCACAACTATAGCTGCCTTTACTTACAGTGAACCCTACTGGCGTACCCCACAGGGAGTCCCACTGGTGTAACCCAGGATTTGGAGCCCATCTCAATCTGGAGATTTTCAAACTTGGCTATCAAATGCTTACTTTAGGGACAAGTTCCCAGCATGGCAGAACTCGATCCGGCACAACCTGAGCCTGAATGACTGTTTTGTAAAAATTCCCCGAGAGCCAGGTAACCCCGGCAAAGGCAACTATTGGTCATTGGATCCGAAAGCCCAAGATATGTTCGATAATGGATCCTTTCTGCGACGGCGAAAGAGGTGAGAACATTTGGATTTCTCCTGTGGGGGCTTTCTGTATTGCTACGGTAGACCGCCAGGCAATCGCACGTACAGCCATAGGCTGCGAGCGCATTATTCGATTGTGTTGCCTTTTTATCGATGAGAATAATCCGGTCTTGAATTCACTTTTTCGCCAACAACACTTGAACGAATAATACGCTTCAAGTCAATGGCGATGATGTTGACTAAACAGGTGTTTGGCCCCCTCCAGTACAAACAAACACCTATCATTTAAGGTTCAAGCGACAACCAGAACCACAGGACATGTCGCCGATCACCTTTCCACCATTTCTCTCACCGATCGGACCAATGGTACCACCACGATTACCGCTTCCGATGCCACCTATTCTTTCACCTCTTCCACCGACTGCACCACAACTGCCATCATCACTGCCACGCCATCCGATGGCGATGGTGCCAACAATGATGCCAAACGTTCCACACAGATTACCGTACTTCTACCCGGGCATTTCAGCGAATGTCGACCATCAAAAACTGTTGGCTGCCATTGCGGCACAAACCCCGTTGACGTCTACTGCGTCCGAATGTGTACACACTTTACATAAAGTTGACTGACCCCTCTTTCTTCACTAACTCACCATTTCACTCTGGGATTTCTGTCTTATTAGTGCAATAGCTGGCGCTAACGTAGTTGGGGGGGGCATTCGAATGCAAAATCGCCAGCGCTTTCGAATTGTTATCTCTGATCAAGGCTAAGGCTCAGTGAACACTATGTCGTAGAGCAGGTCCTGACGCTGGAGAAAACTTTCGGAAAATACGCCTTCCCCTCACC